AAACTTTGAAGATTATTGTGTCAAAAAAGGATAGCACCTGTTTTATTTTAAAAATATTTAAACTGTAAATTTTATTACGATAATACTTCAAATATTGAAATATTATTCATTTATTTGTTGAAAAAGAAAACAAAAACTTGAATGTTTAATAGAATTTTTACTTACGGTTTTGGACAAATATTTTTAAATTCAATTTTTTAGTATGGAATGGAATGAAAAAAAGAGTAGATTTACAACCGTATACATATATTCATAAAAGAAGGTAATAAAAAATTTCGTTTGAAAATGTATTTTTGCAAAATTAAATTTTCTTACAGCATGTAAAAAGTTACTTCAATTTTTTCTTATTGATTCAAAGGTTGAGTTTTTTCATAAATATTATGTACCTATAACATTATTTTAGGATGATTAGACATAGAAATTCTATGATAAATTTCACAAATTTCTTGCTCTATTTCAATTCTACTTCAACAGTGCATTGCGTTATGGATAGTTGGATTATTGTCCATGGGATGAATATTTTTTCTATTCCAGGTGTTGACCAAGAAGTAATCTTGATGCTGGCAAGTAAAATGTTTGATCTATCTTCGCAATCTAGGTTTTTCAGTTAATCATATGCTGATGAGTTGTGTGATTCCTTTATTCNTCAAAGGTTGAGTTTTTTCATAAATATTATGTACCTATAACATTATTTTAGGATGATTAGACATAGAAATTCAATGATAAATTACACAATTTTCTTGTTCTATTTCAATTCTACTTCAACATAGCATTCCTTCCATGGGATGAATATTTTTTCTATTCCAGGTGTTGACCAAGAAATGATCTTGATGCTGGCAAGTTAAATGTTCGATCTATCTTCGCAATCTAGGCTTTTCAGTTAATCATATGCTGATGAGTTGTGTGTTTCCTTTATTCACTGTATTTGAGCTGCATTTTATCTCATGTTTTAGGACGCAACTTGCATAAAGATGCCTTCATCAGAAAAAAATTAATTGTGCTACATGGATTGATTTTATTCAAGTCAAATCGAATCCCTGTTCCCTATATCTTGGCGTTTATGAGCTATTAAATTTCAAAGTTTCTATGATTAAGATACTGAATCGGTTTATAATCATTTGATTTTATAAATAATATCAGACACAAATTTTCAGATTGGTCGATTTTTTTCTCGGATGATTCATAGAATATATCAGAAGATCACAACACATTGAATTTGACATTTTGTTACGGCAAATGTATCTCTATAGGCTAGCCTATAGGCTAGTTCCCCAACGATAGATGGCACTGTTTTTACAGATTATACAGATCATTGGATTATGCTGATTAGATTTCTAAATTTGCAAATAAGATAAAATTTACTGTCAGAGAAATATAGAATTAGGATTATCGTGATGACGCATAGCTTGAAAGGATGCGCTTTATGGATGAAATGATATTCATAAAATTTTTTCACATGAGCATTCATAAGCGAGACATTTTGTTGTGAATTAAACTATTAACTACCTACCTAGGAAAAGTTGTTAGATTAGACAAAAATCTTTTCAGCGTTTTCCGAAAAGTGAAAAACGAATCAATAAAATTTTGTATATGTATAAGTTGAAATAGTAAAAATAGGAAAATTTTCCAAGAAGCGTCTATGAAGGTTATTGAACTTATTGACAATAGAACTTTTATTTATTTATTTTTCAGTACAAAGTAATCAAATGCTTCTCTAATACTGCTTTTTAAAAATGAGAATGTAAGAATACTGAAGAATTATAAAAATTAAACTTTTTATTTCATTAAGAATGAAAATAAAAGTTATTCCTAGTTTTCATGCTGCCATCTTTGATGAAAAAGTGGTTGCCAAAGCCAACACTCCAATTGTTGTTATCGTCAAAATTGATTTGAGTTGAGCTAGATAACAAATAAAACTTGAATATTAATTCCATAGTATAAATAGATGACTTTTAAACCCATTTTGTAAACATACTTTATTTCTTTAACCATTCTATTCGGTATGGAACATAATTGGTACACAATGCCAAATGAGAAATATGAAAGTCAATGTTGAATTGTTTTTAATGATAACAATGAACATAAAGTTTTTATTTCGATATACCAATCTATGTTAAACATATGAATCAAGAAACTATCATATTATCGACAGAAGATTATTCCGTATACATATTTAGAGTCTTGATGAATCTTCGATCATGACAAATTGTGCGATGCATTGAAGTGAACAGTAATGCTATATGATCAAAAGTTGTTATATCTTAAAGTAATAAACAAGAGATTCTTCTCAGAATTAAAGTGCAATAATGACTACCTTTGCTAATCACCACCTTGCTCACTTTCTTTTCTATTTAATGAAAATTAGATGTCAAAAAATTATCACCAATATTTTTTTTCGAAATCTTATCACTAAACTTTCACAAGTCTTATCCTTTTCCATTTCATAACAATTTTATATGTCTTTACTCTTACAACAGTTAAAATGTGTGTTTTTCCATTTATTAAAAAAAATATCGAAATTAGGGTTTTCCAGAAAATTTGTTCTTAAATAAATATTTTGGGGTTGGTTTTCTTATCTATTTGAAAAGAATAATAGTAAATTTGGTGTATTTTAATGAGCTAGATAAAAACATATTTAGTTTAATCATTTTCAGAAAACAAAAAAGTTAAACTGATTCAGATTTTAAGAACCTCAAAATTAAAAGAACATTCGTAACGGAAAACCTTAACTGAAATGAAACCAGTGAATCATAAGACGTATTCTCCATTCAAAGACACATGTAATGGTAATGATTAAAAATTTTGATCCAGATTCACACCTGAACTCGAAAGTACTGCACCATAGCGATCAAAGAGATCAAAAAGTACTCCATTTGTCCATCCAAATCCTTTCTGCACTTCGTATTCCCCGCCACCACCTGAAATAAAAAAATGAAAACAATTTGAGTCTATTAAATTGGTAATTATATTATTTTTTTTCTTTTTCGTACCGTGACCTCCAAGTTCGTTAGCAAGATACTGCAATAAATAATAAAAATTTGATGAAAAATGTTAAAATCGAAATAAATATGTAGAATGACCAATTAAAGATAACTTTAAGAAAAATTAAAAAGTTTCATATGTAACGCTTAGTTTATTACCAGAAACTTTAGTTATCAACTGAAGAAATCTTGTAAAACTTTGCATTTTTCTTAAATACTGTTCATGTTCAAGATGTATTGAGCGAATCTACAAATAATAGCATAAAATAAATTGCTGCCACTCACTCAAATGATGCTTCAATTGTTCTTTGGAAACATTTTGCATCCAATAGCATTCTCACGAAAAATTTCTTGTTTAATTATTGTAACAGTTTCACTGACTTATTCAATATAAAAATTTTAAATATAAGTTATAAAAACGATTTTTATGTTAATTCAATTATGATGATATTGCTATTTATCTCAGAAACATTTTTCAAATGTCAAATAATTGAAAATGGGGATGTAAAGAGTCTTTTAAGGAGACTTTTTCAGTGTATGAAAATATTTGAATATTAGATATATTTTATAAAAATTGAAAGAGTTAGATAATTAAATATATTTTACTTACTTTTTCATACATAGCCCCCGTATCTTTGTAAGCTATGTAATTGCTTAGTACCCAACGTTGCGCCCATTCTTGAGCGATTTTTTTCGTCCTATCGTCTTCTAGATTATCAAGGCCCACAATCAACATGTGTTGAAATGGAGCCCATACATTAGGCTTGTCCCACTGTTCACCTGATAAAGAAAATTATGTTTTGGGACTATAGTAAAGAAATAAAAAGAATCTAATATTATAGATGCTTACCGCTGTTATTCATTGTTGTTGGAACACCTCCAGGGAAGGAATCAAGATTATTTTCATTGATATAGTTGACGACACGGTCTGAAATATATTGTCGTTTAGAAGGGTTATAACAACGCATCCAAAGAGGTGAAAGATTGGTTGCAACAAAATAATTTCGCGACTTTTCATTTATCAAGTCATAGTCGAGCCATACACCAGCTTCTTCATTCCAAAGAACTTCTTCAACAGCCTACAACAATGAATATGTTGATCAATGAAATGATAAACAATTAAAAATCTTACTTTATAAAACTTCTCAGACATTTGATAATATTCTTCTTGCTTATCAGATAAATTTGCGTAGCCATAAAATTCTGAGATAATTTTAGCATTCCAAAACAAAATAGCATTCAATTCAACTGGGATAATTGAACGTGTCTTAAGATCTCTCAAATCTCCATTATTTGTTCCATTTTTATCAATAAACCAGCGACTTGAAAAATCCATTCCACTCTCAGCTGCTGCTTTTAGTTCAGAGTAATGAGCTTCTCTTTCCGTATCGTTAGGAAAATCTTTTCCAGTTTCAATGTCCTCACGGAATGATTCTGGTCTAGGACCAGATGATTTGTCGCCATATTTCGCCATTCTATGTCCTTTTACTAAGACAGTGTGATTTTGCATCCAATATTCAAACTCACGTGCAAGGATATCAACTGAAGCTATTGCGAGCTGGTAATCCTTTGTATGGTCAAAATAGGTTTTGATCATTGGTGCTAATAAAGGTGGTTGTGAACGCATTGAATAGTAGATTCGTCCACCATTTGGGATGAAACCGAAACGTTCAATGATTGAAAGGAAATTTCTGATCATTCCTTGAGCCGTCTTTAAAGAAATACATGAAATAAGAATTATTAAATATAAAGACTTTTGCATGAAACTTACGTTCACCATTTCAGAAAGCAAAAGACCTCGGATTATCCAATAGGAATCCCAATAATAAAATTCTCGAAACCTTCCTCCTGGAACAATGACTGGATTTTGAACGTAGATAATCGAATAAAGTGCCTGATTATCGGCAACTTCCTTTTTCATTTTGCGACCAAGGTCAAGCCAGATTTTGTTCAAGTCTTCAGCGAAACTTCGCAGAGATTTATCATTTATCTTGTTAAGAATCTCCGGAGATTTTGAATAGTCTTCAGGAACCCAATCTTCGAATTCGGAACCTGCTGGTTCAAAATTTTCTTTGACCCATAATTGAATTTCGTTTTGATCTGGTACACGATCGATAAATTTTGCCATGAATTCATCAAATTTCTTGAGTGTCAAACTTGGTGATTCTTTTAGTTTCATATCAACAAACGTCTTTGAGTCATTAAAAATTCGTGCCATTTGGACGGTTTCAAGTAAACGGCCATGACAGTAAATTTCACTTCATATGGAGAAAAATAAAAAAAGTATGTTTATAAAAGTTTGTCTTAAATTGAAACAGAAATAATATTGTTAACTAAAGGCTCAATTCGATTTCTCATGTGAATATTTTCACATTCTTACCTCGGACAAGGTTTTGGAAGTTCATCAATTTCATTAGTCAATCCATTTATAAAGGCAGAGGATGTTATTAATAACAAACTAAATAACATAAGCATGGCTTTTTCTATCTCTCTCCAAAAATTTTTTTGCAGTCAATTTGAAAATTTTGTATAGCAACAATAGTTTGGTGATAACTTCTCACTTTTAACAGCTATGTGTACTTCTTAATAACTGATCATCATTATAAAATGTGTTGATAATTGCAACAGAAACATTGAATGTTAGGTTTTCAAATTTAGCTATCTCTATCTGCAGCTTGGGAAATTTCTTAGCTATATGATTCTCGCAAGAAAATGAATCTTCAGCTTTACCTCGTTTTTCAGGTAATACTTATATGTGGTAAATGAGATATTTCAATGTATCCTAAGCAATTATGAAAAGCTTTCTACGTGTTGTCACATGTTCAATTATTCCAAGTTTTCAAAAAACAAATTTTATTTATACAAATTATAAATATTTAGGCTTGAAAATATCTAAATAAAATGCTATGCTTGTGCTTATGATAATTTTCCTTACTTTATATCATGTCTGTCAAGTCACATCAATTTAATTTTATATGTTCGTCAATGACTTTATTGGTTTAAGATCGTAGGATCAATACCAAATCATACCATTCCATGTTATGTAGAAATCATAATAATCAAGGCAATAAATAGAGATTTTTAAAACTTGTGCTTATGAACACTCAAAGACTCTTACCCATTTTGACCAACTGTCTTTGGGTTGTAAAATAAATGCTTTGTAACATTTAAGCTGCAATAAGACAGAAAATTTAAAATATTATCTTATTATGTATTATTAGCAAAAAGAAATCAGTAAAAAAGCTGTTAATCATCGTAACTACACCTCTCGAGATTACTGTGACAGTGAAAATACTTGACATTGGTAAATATTTGTTATCGAATAAGAATTAAACAAATTAAAGATAAGTATACATACATATATATTAAATATATTAATTAAATAAGACAGAAAGAAAATATTAGTTCTAAATATCTCATGTATAATTTTGTACCTAAATTTGATGAAACACACTGTACGCTTCGTAAATGCAAATCGAAGGGTGGCACAATTTTAGAGCTAAAAGCTTATGTTTTGTATTTCTACTTATATTATCACAAAATTTTGAATTGAAAATGTGTAGATACATTTGTACATAGTTTAAGAAATCCGTTTGAATTNATATTTTCTTTTAACAGAAATAAAACAAATAATATAAACGAAATAATATAATCAGCCCTGACAAATGACAAGTTCATATAAAAATGTAGAAACAAATCGTGAATATTATTATTCACATGTTAACGCATTAAATAAAATTCAAGTTCGAGTAAAATGCTTCCGTAATGTCATTAAACTCAAAATACCGGCAGAATTTTCAAGTATTGTGAAAGAATAATCAAAAAGGCAAGTAATTTGATTGACAATTGATGACAGTCTTTAGTGAGAAAAATAAATATTTTAAACAGGTTATTACCAAAATTATCGAATCATACGGGAAGGTTTCAATGATAATGCAAACTTATTCCGTATTGTATATATATGTACATACTAGTTTGCAAACAACAAACTGCACACTGTCGATGATAAGTGAGCTTTGGTCAAGGGTGTGATTTAATAGATTACTTGAAAACAGACACATCACAGAATATATTGATGTTATAATTAGACATTTTTATATCTTGATATGGTTTTCATTTTTTGATGACATGCATTTAGTTTTTTTTTCCCATTTTATAGATTGCTTTCAAAACTAAATCTAGGTACAGATAAAATGAAACACTGTCATGCTAAAAACTGGATAAATAACGTCGAAGGCTAAATAAACTATGTTGGGAATTCCCATATGATCAAATTTGCACACGACAGTTTCATCAGAATTAAAGCCGCTTTAAACAAACTTCAGAGAACTGACCGTTTTATATATTTGAAGTGTGGTTCCTTTTTTATTAACTCGCAATGACATTGAAGGTTAGTAAGTATAATGAATATTCTGTATTGTATTCATTTTAACGAAACAAAGAGACTGCAAAATTATCACTTGTCATAGATCTTGATTTTTCAATTGCGTTCAAGTGTGCACTTTTTATAAATCTTCTCAAATTTTAGTTTTTTTTATTATATACCTACTTTAAGTCAAACTTTAAATAACCAATCGTGATGTGAGTGTATATACATACAAAATGCGTTCTTCGTTTGTTAATTGAAAAATAAATAAATCCCTAATTTTTGCAAGCAAATTAAATATCTATGTGTCACTAATGATCTGGTAGTAGTATTGTTTATTTGATGAAAAATTTATTCATTCAATTGTTTCATATTCTTTCTTATAATATTAATCACAAATATGAAGATTTTGTTACTCCTATATTAACGAATATAAAGCCAAATACTTTTGAATGATAAGCAGAGTTAAGCTTTATCTCTCAATTAAGTAACTTCGTCAATTTTTTTTTATAGAAGTTATAATGAAATTCTCTTGAATACATAGATAATTGAAACAAATGAAATTACGTGACTTTATATTTTTGGCTTAAAAATTGAATAAACTGCTTAACCACCCACATGTGACAACGCGAAAAAGTCTTTCACTTAGGAGTTTACAAATTGCACAATTTACTCTTCCTGTCACTCATAGCTATGTAAAAATTTGCACATTCGTTGGATTTGTCAATTTTTCCAACGCTTAAATTGTTTAATATATGTTATCTAACTTCGTTAAGCGAAACGTTGTAGATTCTGAGCTTCCTTGAAAAATTGATGAACTGTTAAAATGCTTGAATGATAAATTTATAAAAATTCTACTAAGATCTTACTTCTTTCTTCTTTTTACAGCGCAGCGCGACAGAATGACGACTGCCAAAAATATACAAAAATTTAAGTTACTGCTTCTAAAAATGAGAGTACCGACGTTTACAAATAAAACTACTCACTCCAAGGGGGGAAACTAACAGAAAATAATGACTAACAAAAGCACCATCTTGCAAAAAGCCCCAGAAGCACCAGAAGCAATTCTAAGAAAAACTAAGCAAATTCCTTGAAAATGGATATGTTTTTGAAAAAGCACTAGTGTTACTAACAACACCATCTGACAATAGCAGGAAGAAGCAGTATGCTTATCCACCCCTTGACTCACTCGTTTGGATAAATTTTGAGCAACGCTGTTTTTTCTCTCTTTGTTTTGTTGCATAAATAGTGAGAAAATGACGTAGGTTTTGACGTAACTAACGGTAATATCAAGGGGCAGATCATCGGAAAAAATTGGAGGGCAAAAGCACTATTGCTGCATTGAAGCACTAGACAAATTCCAAGAAAAAGTAAACAAATTCTTGGAAAAAGGCCATTTTTCTTGAAAAGCACTAGTGATTTTCGAAGCATCACTTGGAGGCAGCGGGCAGAAGCACTACCATGATCTGCCCCTTGGGTAATATAAATCGAAGAGAATCATGTATCAGAGTAGCTTGCAATATATATCTACGCAGTCTTTACGTAAATGAATGTGATTCCTCTCTCAGTTTCGAATCTCTGATCTAAATTCGATCTTCAAACATTTCTCAGTGCTACAATATCAATTATTATGAACTCTAAAGTAATTCTGAATGTATATAATTATAGTTTGCACGAATTACGCGTTATTAAATATTCAATTTTGTTCACAATAAAATAAATACAAGCAACTCAATTTATATATTTTATTTTGCGTTTTCGTGGAATCTGTTTTGCAGAGAAAATGTTGATTAGGAAGCTTTTATGGAAACACCGCGTCGTTGTGTCTACTCTAAACTAAAGCATTAACAGGAATATTTCATATTAAAAAAGCGAACTTCCTTGATAGTCATTCAGAAATGACATTCAAAACCTTGATCAGAATTTATGAACATATATCTAAGTATAGAATGAAATTTAAATTTAAGCTTACTTAGGTTAATTACTTACTCTAGAAGTGATACTAATATAGAATTGACAATTTCTTCTACTGCTATACGTAATGCAATCATTGTTATATTGGAAGAAGAAAAACAAGGTTTGGACCAAAAATCTAAGATGAAGTTGTTTGGTAGGTTTGATTTTTTGTATTTTCCAGAAATTAGTACAAACAACATTTAGCGAATTTCTTATGAATAAAAAATGTCATTGCATTGCTTTGATTTCAAAAATCATATACATGTACATAGAGACAAATATATGTATGAAATTCATTGTTTTTAATTATTTACTTAATTTATTTGTCAATAGTAACTTCTTTCGAACTATATTTACAATCATTTATTAATGGCTGAGCTTTCCAATACTGTATCAAATCTGCAGATCGAAATCTATTAAACTTTGGCCAAGTCGGCACTCGTATATTTACTAAACGGTTCTTAAATTTTTCGAAAGAACTAAATCGTAAATTATTGTTTTTAATATTTTCTGAAGATTTGATAATTTTTGAAGGAAAAATAGTTGTAGTTTCAAACAAACGAAATTCATTAAAACTATCATCATTCGATTTGTCATTTGCAGTTTCATCATTGTATTTATGAATTTCAAATTGATCAAAACTATCTGAATGATCTTCTGAAGTTTCCAAATTTTCCTCATCCGGAATAAACAAAAAATTAGTTTTGAATTCCACAGATGAAACGTTCGACTCTTTAAAAATCATTTCGTTTTCATTTGAAGTGGATAATATTTCCAAATTACTGATTGTAGTGATGTCGTAATCCAAATCGGTATTATTTTCTATGAAATTATGTTCAAAAACTATAAGTGAATCATTAACTAAAATCGAATTAATATTAGCTGATTCAGTAGTTTCCATATTGATTGTAGTTGTTTCTTCTCCTTTTGTATCAGATGAAGTAGTTGTCAATCTGTTTTCAATCTTTGCATATTTTATTTCTTCTTTGATATTAGAAATATCATATAAATCCAGAAAATTACTTGATGTCTTAATTCCTTCTGTATCTCCTTCATTTAAATAAAGTGAAGTAGTGTCAAAAATAGCAAAGTTATTCTCAGTAAAAACAGGTTGATTCGTTTTGATTATAATAGAATCATCATTTTGCAATGTACTGTCCATATTATAAGTTTCTTTATAAATAAAACTTTCTTTCTGCATTTTATCTTCAGCTAAACTGATGTTATCAGCCAATGATAACAATATTTCATCTACTTGAGTCTTGTTGAAATTTTCTACCATAATAGGGGATTCATGTTGCGTTATTATGTCTTCATTTTCTAATGAATTTTCGTAATCATTACTTATATCTTCAGTATGAAACGGGTATAGATTTTGTAATCTGTTTACAAGAATTTCCTCTGTAAAAAGTCGGAAATTGAGCTTTTACGTAAGTATTTATATATCTTGAAACAAAGATAAACAATAAATGAAAGTTTTACCTTGATTTATGCTAACAATTTCAACACACTTTCCGTTCATGTCAACCTTATAACCATTCTTACATTTGGAGATATTTAGATTAGGTGTCATGAATATGGATTTGGCTTTAATTTTTCGTGCACCACCAATGTATGGAGAAAAGGTTGGTTTTTGGTTTTCATTATGAGATAAGGAATACCAAACAGTTTGCCAAATCAACTGATCTGTGTTGTTTTCTAATGCTTTTGATTTTATTGGAAGTGACCCACTTTTTTCCAACATAAACGATAATATAGTGAAGATTGTCTTAATCTGTCTCATCATTCAAGTCATTCTTAAAAAAATTTACACCATCTGGAAAAGACATTTGAAATTTTAAGCAATATTTTAAGAAATGAATGTTACTTGTTCTTATTGTTTCATTCGAATTTCAAGTTTTGAAGCATTGGTGCAACATGTAACTTATTAAACATATTTATTATTATCTTAAATTATAAAGAAAAAAATATTCCACCGAAAGCTTCCATATTCACATCAAAACAGTAGTTTTCATTAACTATTTATGTATTGCAAGTATATTTTATTATGGCCTTTTTCTCATACTTATTTGTTTAATTTAATTTTTGATTTAGTAAGCAACTACATTTTCCCGATCTTCATATTTATGTTTTTTAATTTTATTAAAAATTGAAACATTTTGGAGAAATAAAAAAATGAAGAATATTATTCCATATTTACCAACTTTAATCATTTATTGTACACCTTCAGAAATATTTTAAATCTTAGGAATTTGTGTAATTTTTTCAATTAGGAAACTTCAATTTTGTTTTGTAAATAGATATTTAATGACAAAATTTTAAAGATATTGTATACATCCCAAACTATACAGATGAGAACTCATTGAAAACTGAATTGAGAACAAAACTGATATATTCTCAACATCTTAGAAGATATTTTTCTCTTTTAATTCTTTCTTTCAAAATTTCTTCTCATGTTCTTAACATTTTTTGAACAGGGTGTGCATAAATATATGCATTAGAAGCACATGTGCTGCTATATTGCGGAACTTGAGCATGCTTGAATTCGAGTGTTTTAATTTATATTTTTATTTTAAGTATCACAAGATAATCGATGTCATACAATAGTATGATACGCAAGACATTTAAACATAAACATGTATATGCAAAAAAATGTCTTCAAAATCAACACTTGTGAATTTCGGAATTTTTTTCTTATATATAAATAAACAATAAACTTTCAATACATTAAAAATGATATGAATAAGATTACTCTGGATAACATCAGGATTTCATTAAAGTTAATGATAATGCAAATAATTTAAGCCTTGCTTTGAGAGCAAGATGATCCTCTTTTGATATAAAGTTATTAACCATTTTTATTTTTGGGCCAAATTTGAAACAAAAAAAAATTATCGATAATCAATTGATTTAATGTACCATAAAATATGAGTTATGTGAAGCAGAAAATGAATAAAAGATACTATTTGTCTCACTGTTAATGTAAAAATAGTAAAATTGATTCAAACCAACCTTGATGTGAAACTGTAGGAACTATAAATGATGAGAAAATGTTGCTTCTTGAAGATGGCGCTGATGTAAAACCCATAACTATCAACTTTTAAAAATATTGGATATGCAAAATATTTCAACATAAAAAATGTAAGTCATAAAAAAATGTATCATGTAGTACATTCTGATTATTATATATAAATTAGATTTATATTCTTTGGACGGTTTGAACTTATGCTATATTCTTAAGCACCATGAATTGTTTTGTTTCATAAAAAGATATATGAAATAGGATGTAAAATTTAAATGATTTTTCTAATTTACTAAAATTCACCCTTATATAATAAGGTATTGCGTCCTGAAATGTTAGGAAAAAGTAATCATGATAATCTGTTTAACGATTTCGCACAAAGCTTCAAACATTGTAAAGTGTGGCTAATTGCGATTAATTAGAAGCTCTTAAATATAATTTTTTGTATAAAATTATTGTCACTAAATAAGTTTTTCAAAAATAATTTTTATTTATAAATATTAATTGATCATGGTCATCAACTTGTTCTATTTAAAATTCAAAAATTGACATTCTGAGTCCAGCTTAATTGTATTTCTGGATAAAAGTGAATGACGACTTGGAGTTATTGGGAAAAGCAGTAGTAAATTTCAGTGATGAAACTACCCATTCATGTTAGTCTTATCAAGGGCCAGATACGTATTTTTTATTCCAATAATTTTAGTATGATTAGTTACGAAAAGGAAGCAGAACTTTTAATTTTTAAAATATCAGAATACAAATAAATCTGAGATTTTTATTTTTCTTTACAAATATTAATCAGTGTTACTGTGTATTGATGATTAAGACATAAAAATGATGACAACTTAATCATCATCATACCATGTAGAGCGTGTATCCAACAAAGAATGGTAAATTGAGTAAACGTATGTATTAAAAGTGGGCGAGAGTAATAAAGAAAAATATGAAAATAAAACCATAAATACTAAAGGAAAAAGACTATATAGATACATATTGTAAAAATTCTTGGAATGGACATGAAAGAGAAACCATTAATGAGAAATGTTTCCTTTATTCTCTTTCTCTTCTCAAAAGGAAGGTGCAACTTCGATCAAGACAAGGGGTAATTCATCGAAAACATTGGCAGACAAAAGCACTATTTAGAAAAAAAGCACTAGGCAGATTTCAACCAAGCAAATTCTTGGAAAATGACCATTTTTTTGAAAAAGCGCAAATGCTTTTCGAAGCATCATTTATAGACAGTCGGTAAAACCACTGCATGAAATACCCCTTGGATCAAGACTTTGATCGAGAGCAAAGATCGAAGCTTAACGACAAATAATATACCAAGTTAGTTTGCTTCAATAATCATGCTACAAGAACAACCCACTACAGCAAGTACCACAGTAACGAAATCTCTCTCTTTCTCTCTCTCCTTATCTTCGAAATAGCTTTGTTTGAGATATTCGACATTTGTGTTAGTGATCAGTGTTTCTTTTTTCATTAAAGTTAGAACACCCTGTATCGCTCTTGCAAGTATATCAATTTTACTTTTTAACTTCAAAATCAAACGAAATAATTTCAAGCCAGCTCCAAACACAACGTTGTTTATTTATTTTGAGTCTTTGTTTTGTTCAATCTTATGATCAATTATCCATTATTTTACTTTACACATTTTTATTTGAAAATGTTTAGTTGTAGTTGTGAATCGTATGAAAATGAAAATCACGTTTAAATAATTTCTGTAGTCAATAAAGACATTTAACCATTATACGGATGTGAGAGCAGCCAACATCATCAATTAGAAATGGATGGATGGAGAGGAAAAAATAATGTTTTAATTTTCACACAATGAATTGATGATGTGTTTCAATGTGTGTTGATGAGACGCAATCTTAAACAGGTTTTTTTTTTCTTTTCACGTTTTACTTCAGGTTTTTTGGAGCCGAGTCGATTCGGTTCAAGCAAAGATCTTAATTAAGATTTAATTTCATTCTCTCTTCTGATATTTTTAAGCTTCAAAAACAATTTAGGGCTCATTTGGAGTCTGAGATGTTTCAATACACAGATTTTGAAAAAGATGAACATCTTATTTTGCTACGAATGAATAATAAAATCACATAGGTGTGGGAATTAATATGTTTGATAGATTCAAACTTATTAGAAAATACTGTGGAATGTCAATAAAATTTAGTGACGAGAAAAGGATTCATAATGTTATAAATACTCCAGTCGAATTTAGAGAATTCTACTGTATTGTTCTTTAAAGATTTGGGAGCGAAAACCATTAGTTTCCTCACACTGTTATAAATATATTTACCAACTACAGTAGAATCTCAGTAAAAATAATATAAAGGAACCAAAGAAATTGGAATAGTTATAGTTAATTTTATTTATCAGGCCTAAAAAATTTTAAAATTAAGATATATGAATTTCCGAAAAAAATGTTATTCAAATTTTGTCATCAATTCAAATTTCGTTGATTTTTTTCTGTTTCACAATCCCAAAAAGTATATTTAGTAAAATAAAAAAAAAAATTGAAATTTTAGAATCCTAACTTAAAATTTTGAATCAGTTGTACAACTCACATTATTCTCATTTCCAGGCGACAGTCTTCAAACATCGGCTTCAAGAAAATATCTTCCACCAATACTACGAAGTAAAGAATTTTTATGAGTTTATTTCAAGATTTTCATTTTGCTTTGTTATATTGAGTTGTTAAATATGCTGTCAATTGAGTTTTCTGTATTTTTTGTTTTTCTTTTTTTATTATTTCTTCTTTTCTCTTTTAGTTTTTTTCTTCGTTTCGTAAAATTTCTGTTTGTTGTATGTACAACAAAAAAAATCATGTTCAGTTGTGGTGTGGTTCTAGAAGAGAAAAAACGTGTTCGCGCTTTCAAGTGTCCTTTTTTATAAAAGTTATTGACTTTTTTTATTTTTTACTTTTTAATCTTGGTTAATTATAATTCTAATGGTTAAAAGTTAAATTTTTCCAAGTCAATTTGAAAAGATGAAGTTATTTTATCAGTTGTTAAAAAAATTCCCCAGCAACGTGTGTGATTGTTTTAAGTTTTTTTCTTACAAAAAATGATATGATGAATTTGTTCTCAAGGCTTACAGTTTTTCTTAGAAAGGACTTTTAGTATTATTAGACAGAAAAAATATGAAAGTGCTATTAATGTGTCAAATAAGAAATAAAAAAAATAAAACATAAAGAAACACACCGAACAAATCATGCCAGAAAAAGGACCTTTCGGTGAACAAATTTATCCTTATCAACATCACTTTCATAATCAAATGATAAATGGAGTTGCTACAAATGGATTTTTTCAAAGTAACACTGAGCAACAAGCAGATTCACGAAATCTTTCTACTTCACAAAATAACAATTCGATACATTTTCCGTCGGCTTTCGTAGCTTTTCACAATTCTCAAATGGCTGCGGTCGGACAAAGACATACACATGATAATAATTTCAATTCATCATCATCATTTCATTACCCTCATGGGTAAGTAAATTATGCGATAAATATCATTTTTATATTCAGATTAAGCACTAACAAGTATTCAAAATTACCTAGTAGTATTACTCTTACAAACATTTACTCTAAATTCTATTTATGTAACGATTAAATCTGTTAACATGGACAGTTTTAAAATTAAGATGTAAGCAATTTAAGGACGAGAGGTCTTCTGATCACAACTATCTCAGTTCAGTTTAATATAATTACATAAAAAAATTCAATGGATTTATGACTAATTTTCTACAAAAAGAACATACATAACAAACATTACAACATGATCACTGAAATTTCATTATAAGTGATCGTTCTCGGTTCATCATAAAAAGGAAGAATGCTTTCAGGAACCAAATTAGGGTCTTTTATATGAAGATTGAGATATTTTTCCCTTTTCCAAACTACGTACCTGATACTTATGAGTATAGAATTTAAAACATCAAAAGAATCCAAAGGATCAAGAAATATTTTTTTACAAATTTTCATCTTTTCAAAAGGAATCTTTAACGACAAGTGAATTATATCTTTTGCGTCTGTTCCATTGAATGATCGACCGATTTTCGACCTTTTATGTTAAAAAATCTCCTGAACGTTTACAAAATCATGTGCCTAGAAATATGTTTTCCCTCTGATTTCTAAAACGAAGGCAATGATGATGACAATTGATAACAGTCAGTTGCTTTGGCAGGTCAAAGACGATGACAGAAAGAAACTTACTTTGTGTAGAAAGAATTTTTGGAGTTTTAAATTCTATGAAAACAGTCGAAGGCTCTGTTACATATCGAATTTTAGGAAGAGATTTCAAAAGTGCTTTGGCATCATTGGTCCCAACTTTATCTCCTGTAGGGACAGTATACAAAAATTGCTTTTGATCAAGCTACATATGTATCGAGCGCAGCCTTTTTTTTTGAAATCCTTCAGTTCAAGAATATATGTATGTAAATAAACAATAAGGCAATTGGGTAAGAGTATATGTAAATGTTTGAATTTCCACGCCATTTGAAAGTAATGTTCCGTATCTGAGTTCACAAAGAATGAGAATTATTATATGTTTTATTTTTAGCTAAACACAATTTTTTTAAACTTTGAATAAACTAATTAATGGAGTTATCCCAGTTTGTATTTGAATGAAAAGCAATGCTTTCAGTTTTACCGAGTCAACTCTCAGTAATAAATCGTACATCTACACAAACGGCATATTTCAAGCTGTTCATCGGCAAATACAATATAACACAATAAAGGTTTGTTTCCATTACTCATCTTGTTTAAATAAGACTTCTTGAAGACGACTGACGATGTTCATGTCAACAATACACTCTTCGTAAAATCACAGTATTTATACGATAAAACAAAGTTACTATGAATTTGTTTAAGAAATACAAATATTTTGTTTTGTTTGCTGCCTCTAAATTCTACTGGCGTTTAAATTGTATGCATTGAACAGATAAGCTAAAGATTAACACTGAACTATTTTACTTAAATATTTAAATTCTTTAAAAAGGAATAGTGAACCGCAATAATTTACTAATATTATAATGTATATGTAATTTGTTTGATCATTTCGATCATTTGATCACATCGTTGTACTTTTATTATCTCTATCTAATTTAATATTTGCATACCTTATTGCTTTGTTTTTCTTTTATTTTCTGAAAGATAAATTTTTTCATCATTTGAGCTTTTTCTCTCACAAATAAATCGAACCGTTTATTAAACTCTTTATCAAATTATAATGGAACAGATGAGTGAAACTTGCAGTTCAAATGTGAAATCATCGTCTTGAATTGTTTTGTGGTATTTCTCACCTCATTAGTTTCGCAGTGGTGTAATATATTTACTTTTAACCAATGAAATAAGATGGAATAAAAATAAACTGGTGCCAATTTTGTTTAAATAACAAAAACAAATTTAAACCGCCGTACAAGATGAAATTTAATCATGCGGTATCCATTCGATATACGTAGGTAAATGCTTGCAACAATACAGACCATTTAATCTTTTTTGGCTTCTAATTTTTGTGGTCAGTCGTTTTTTTTCACATGTGTTTATTGCCAGACTGGGAACGGATTGAGAATATTGTTAATTTTTGTCGCATTTAAAAAAGATCGTCGATCCAAATAATATTTAAGTTCTGCTTAATTAAATCAAAGTAAGGAACATATATGTTCTAAGAAACCTCCTTGCAATAGAAATGAATAATTCGGATTGATACTTCATAATTCTAAATGAAATTTGTTTAAAATATTCAAATTCGGACGATCAAAAAATCTTATTAAGATGTCATTTTTTTCTTAAAAATCTATTCAACTGTGTTTTATTTCAAAAAGAAGCATTTATCGACGATAAATGCTTCTTTTAAATTAATGTATTGTGTATAAATCGGTCAGATTTTTTAGAAAGCACGTATTGTGATGATATTTATCATAATAATTATGTATTTATTTATCTTAATGAACTTATTAATAATAAAAAAAACATCTTGTAACCTGAAGCAAAACTAAAATAATGCAAACTCAAACGTAATGTGGAACCTTTCTTTAAACTGTGTAAGAATTCAAAAATGTAGAATATAAACGAGATCGTTGCATCAACTCGGTACGAGTGCATTTTCTCAAACTTCATTTAGCTTTATAACTCTATCTCTAAAACTGTTCTGTATGTTCATTTAAAGTTGACTTCTCAGAAATGATTGTGAATGTATTTTAAGAGAACCATAATCATTCTGTTTAGTAACATGGTATTTGTGAATATCAAGTTTTTGTTCGAAATGCTGTTATAAAATATTTTTCGTCTTTGAGAGAAAATATGAGAACATAAAGAAGAACTAAGAATTCAACAAAACGGACGAAAATAATTATGAAAGAAGGTAGAATGATAAAGTCATTATATTGTAAGATCGCTTTTTTAAGTTTTCATCATCAGATGAAAGATGCTAAAATTGAGATTTTATATGTTCGCCCGGCCAATTTGGCTAAAAGTATATAATTTAATGTTAGGCGTGTCCACTATTTATATATATATATATATAAATGACCATCAGATGTTCTGATACGAAAAAATTTAACTTAAAAACTTAACTTATATATCTTTTCGCAAAATGTTTAAAGCTAAACGCAAAAATCTAAGAAAGAATTTAGAAAACAAATCCCAAATATACGGAAAAGGTGAAAATATTTATGTTAATCATTCGCAGATTTTCATTGATTTACCTCATCCGTCACATTTCTTCATGATCCTACTTACGGCTTTCATATTTTTAGATGTTCTATTAAAATGCAAAATATTTCAAAATTCATTGTTGCGAAAACAAATATATTCAAATTAAAAATTATCCTGAATTCAATTTTTTGTATATTATGCCTTCGTCATTTAATTCTTCCTTAAAAACAAAAATTGGTAGTTTTAATTACATGTGCTGAAAATTAGCTTAAACTTAATAGTAATTTTACTTTTATTATAAATATGAAGCTAATATAAAGTCAGAAAATGTTAGATATCAGTTTCACTATACGTTTGGAAATATATACAACATAGTTTAAAAAGTTACAACCTGTAAGTAGGACTAACTTTGAAGATATAAATTTTACTCAGTAATTTAATAAAAATTAAAACCCAATGCGACATGATTGCTTGGAAGAAATTCATCCCACACCTGATGAATAAGAATAATTGAGTCATCAAGAATCATATCTATGTAGAATTGTGAGCATTTACTGAAGATTATTTCTTTTATCCATTCAGTCCTCATTATATTGATTACACGAATCACTTATTAAATGTTTATTAAATTCGATGTTGTCGATCTAAGTACTTATAAGTTCTAAGTATGATAAATAACAAGATTCGTCTATTACTGTAATTTAAAACTGTTTCAGGATTCATTCATAATATGCCATCTCTAATTTTAATTGAAATTGCTCTCTTCAATGCCCACCCTATCTACCCTTAATCCAAAAATGATATGGATTACTAAATTCTAAAATTTCTTAACGCAAAAAAATTCAGGAATAAAAGGAAATGTTCTCCACAACTGAAATTGTGAAACCAAAATGGCTTCTATCAACTGAAAAACTAATAAAGCTCCCAAAACCTGTATGATCGTACTTAACAGTGACCAGAGAACATATCTAGATTTTTATACAAAGTGTGTGGGTATTTTCATATATCTTCAAAATTATCAACATGATTTTATTATGACGTTATTTTAGAAAAGAGAATTATCATAATTTAAGCCATTGTAATATTTTCAAAATTTATATTTTTTTGAAAGTATTTTCCTTTCAAAGGAATGATACTTTCATTTAAATACATATATATATATATATGTATATATCTACGATCGGTATCTATATGCAGC